TGACAAGTTTTGAAATGATTTATGATATGTCAATATTAAATTCGCTTCCGCAATATTGTTGAATACTCCGTACCGTATATATTATGAAAAATATTATTGGGATTAATAAAGTGTATTTGAAAAGTTTTAAATTTTTACGATTACCAAATTAAATACTTTAGTCCGAAAGGGGCTGCAGACCTGGACGAATTAGGGTGTTACAGTGCACTTGGAGAACCATTGGGAAATGCTTCCGAAATTTTGATAGGTCAAAGAAAATGAAATACATTTACTAGTGAGGGTGGCATTTGAAGAATGGGTTAAGATGGTGTAAAGAAGGACCATTTGTATAATGAAGAAGTGCTGCCGGTTTTTTGTTACATCATAAGAAATAAAATATTGTGTTGCCTGTATTTCTTATATGTTTGTGTGTATATATAAAATGAGTGTTAATAATTTTGTTGTGCATTGTTTTGCATGTATCAATCATTTGCCCTTCTTTCTTGCTTAGCCATTCATATGATGGATAGAAGTTGGATTCATATGTCGCGTACATCACCTGAGTTTAGTTCTGGTTTGGAAGAGTTTATTCATTTCGCAGAGAAATATTCAAACGAAGGAAAAAAGCTATATTGTCCTTGTAACTCATGTCACAACCATTTTATGATTGATAGCGTTAAAGATATAAGATTACATGTGTATCGCAAGGGTTTTGACCCAACATACCTTCGATGGAAATGGCATGGAGAGTTAGAAAATCTTTGCAGCTCTAGCTATACTCATAATGAACAAGTCGAGGATGATAGTCACTATGTGTGCACAAGGTTCTTTACCGTTATCCGATGTAAGTTTATTTTAGTGTGTTTTTGAAATTAATGAAGTGTTTATCATCATTTTCTTTTTCATAGATTATTAAACTTTATGTTGTATGTTGTTTTCGTATTGCAGGTATTTCAGTCTACTTTGCCTTATACTAGAGCCGAATTAGAAGAGGTTAGAGAGTTTTGGGCGGGGGGTTTTCTCGATGAACTAGTGTAAGTTTGTGTTATATTGTATAGTATTAAATGTATGTTAGTAGAGTATAGTTGTTTGACTCTTAGTTGTGTTGTTAAAACTTAGAAGAGTAGTTTTACTCTTGGTATTTTTTATGATGTACAAGTGGTGGATGCAAATGTTTACTTTTTTGGTTTAATTTGTTTTGTGGCATTTGGGTTTTGTGAATGTATTTGTGTTTGTTATTGGTTTGTGTTAGTTGTTGTGTTGATGGGTTGAATTGTTGTTGTTGTTGAATCTGTATATTTTAGACAAAATTCTGTGCAAAATTGAAAATGTAGTGGATCGGGAGCAAACAAAAAATTCATTTTGAAAAAATTTATTTTTTGCATCGGTTATCTGGTAATAACCGATTCAAAAGCCTATTCCCAGAAATGGCAAAAAGGCTTTTGAATCGGTTATTTGGTAATAACTGATTCAAAAGGGAGGCTTTTGAATTGGTTATTTGGTAATAACCGATTCAAATGCCTCTTCCCAGAAAAGAAGATGGTGTCATTATCTGGCAGTATGTTGTTTGTAATGAGGAGGGTCAAAAGAATGTTTCCATCACTTCTAGGCCACATATTCAAGAAGCTGCGGATTCTATTCCAAAAAAAAAAGATGCATATCAAACCGCGTAGGATGTAAAGCACGAGTAATATTTAGATTATTTGGTACAGCTGGGTATTCCATCATTTCCTTTAAAGAATGCCACAATCAATCCATGGTTTCTGCACCTTCCAGGCCTTTCTTAAAAGTAAATAGAAATCTTGATCTTGGACACAAAAAATTCATGTTGAATTGTGCTAAGGCTAATATTGGAATAATGAAGACTTATCACCTTTTCAAAGAGTCTGTAGGTGGTTATGACAATATTAGAGCCACGGTTGTTGGCTTTAAGAATTTTAAAACGAGACATCAAAGATTACATTGTTGGGGGGATGCACAAATGGTTATCAACAAGCTTTTTATAAAACATGAAACTTGTTCTGCATTTCACTTTGAATATGATGTCGATGATAATGACCAACTGACAAGATTATTCTGGTGTGATTCCGTCGCTAGGAAAAACTATGCCATGTTTGGTGATGTAGTCTCATTTGATGTGACTTATGTGACTAACAGGTATTTTGCAGGTTTTTAGAGCTAGCTAATGTTTTACCTGTATATTTAATCTGTTTGTTAGCTTACGAATTGTTTTATAGAGTATCGTATCTCTTCATTCATTTTTTCCTCAAAGCAGTTCATGTATTTTATTTTCACTCTTGCCGAACATGTACAATATGATATTTGCACCCTTCATAGGAGTAGATAATCATCGAAAATGTATCACATTCGTGGTTGGATTGATCAACAAAGAGGATGATGAATCTTATTCTTGGCTTTTCCAGTGTTTTTTAGTTTTTCTAAAAATGATTTCAGTCTTGTTTGGAAATAACGTTACAGATTAGTGTTGGCGTTTTGAAAAGATTATTAACAAATAGCGTTTAGCATTAGTGCTTTTAAAGTCAATATGCACAGTTAAAATTTTATCCAAAATGTTAACGCTAATCGAAAATAGTATGACCAAACATGCCTTTCATACCACTTATGTAACCAAACATGGGAAATGAGACTTGGATTTTTTGGAAAAATATTTTTCTCCAAACATAACAGATCTTAAGAGTTAAAATCCAAAATAACAAAGCCATAGAAAAACTAAAGATAAATTACAAGAAAAAAAATTGTTTAACCGAAATGCATAGCACATGTTAAAACGCTATATCCTTATCCTTAAGAGATAAAAAGCAGACTCCGAACTGCAGTAACACGATATTTAGCGGACTTGAGAGTTGAGGCGTGACATGTGGTGGAGCCGTGGTCTCACTTTTTGACAAGTTATATGTGACATACCAAGAGAAAAATAAAAAAAACTTTTCATGTCGAAAAACATTTAAAAAAATATATGATTCTAAAAGAAATGAATACTTATTTCCTTTTTTAATTCTTCCATTTTCAATTATTTTCTTCCTTTCCTTTTATTCATTTTTCTAAAATGATAATTACTTTTTTAAAAACTTATTAATTAAAATATATCATTTACAATATTTTTTTCTGAATTTCAATTAATCTTAAAAATTACACATGAATTTTGGTGTTTAAATATTTTTTAGTAAAGTAATATAGTGATATCAATTATATATTCAATAATACTACATCAAAAGATCTATAAATTGTGTTATTTTCTCGAATTATTATTAAAAAAAATTTAAAAAATATTTTTTAGAATTCAAAGTACCAAATTTTAATTAATTTTACTAAATTTTTTATTAGTATATGATTTTTTTAAATAAATACTCTCTTCATCCACAAATTACTTCCGTTACGATGTCTGAATGGACTTAGTTTTAATTCATTTTATATGATAATTCGTGTAAACTAAATAATAAAAAATACATATTCAAAAACGAGATCAAAATTTTTACAAAATTAGAGATAACAGGATTGTATTATTTTCACACATGATCAGCATCAAATCTCTATTATAGAGCTACATTCTATATGGTTTGAGCCTTTGAGGGAGGGGAACGAGGTAAGAGTAGTTCTTTGCTTTTTGTGGAATTAGAGGACTCGAGCAGTTGCAAAGGAAATGAACATTCATCCATAGAAAATTATTTTTTCAAAAAAATAATTTCCTACCACTTATGTAACCAAATGTAGGAAAATTAGATTTAGATTCTCTAAAAAATATTTTTCTCTGAATAAAAAACTCTAAGAGTTAGAATCCAAAATAACAATATCTTTCAAGTATTGTAGAATAGAACAAAATTTCGTTCTACCCGTTCATGGCACGGGTTAAAGTACTAGTGATAATACATTAGGAAACTCACTATGTTTTAGTAGTATATAGGTAGATTTCCCTATATTTTAAACAAATTAAAATTAAAAATACCTAAAAAAATTGATGGAGGATACAAATCTAAACCCTAAACCCTAAAAGTTGATGGCAAAGAATTCTAAATGATTAACAAATTTATACTTTGAGTAAATTTCATAATTGGTCCTTTATAACAGGGGAGGTTTCCCTATTTAGTCTTCTATTATCAAATATTACCCCAGTTGTCCTTCTTTTATGGGTATCTTTCCACAAATAGTCCTTTTTTATCTTCTATCATGCTGGTGTTAATTTGAGGGCTAAAAGTGTAATTTCGCAATGATAATATATCTTTTTTGTCATACACAATTCCAAAGGCTGTTCCGTTTCCATCGTTTGTGAATTACAGTCGCTTTCTACTACAACCATAATCTACAAATGTGGTCTTTCATCGGAATCCTAGCCCACAATCATAGTCAGTATTTTTGTGTTATCCGCTTAGCCAATATCAGAACACGTCACTAGATATAATGTTGATGTCAAATTATACTTTTAGCCTTTAAATTAATACCAATATGGCAGAAGATCAAAAAAAGACTATTTGTGGAAAGTCACCTTTAAAAAGAGGACTACAGGGGTAATATTTGATAATAGAGGACTAAATATGGAAACCCCCATGTTATAAAGGACCAATTATGAAATTTACTCTTATACTTTTCTAGAAATCTATAATCTTTAACAACTTAAAGTGTAATATATACTCATTTCTGCCCACAAATTCAATCTCTTAAAAAATTCAATATAAAAAAACCTTGGCTTGTGAGACTGAAGACCTTAGGTGGCGGTGGTAGCGGCACGACAATCGAAGTCAGCAGTGGTGGTGCAGTAGGCGGATTGGTGGCGCATAGGTCGGCAATGCTGGGCTCTCACGATGTTCTCTCTCTCTCTCAGCAACGATAGCCATTGTTGTACTGTTGTTTTGCCCGTCAAAAGAATACCAAACTTAGAGTCGATGCAAAATTATACTTGTAACTCTCAGTTTTTAAAAAAACATGTTATAAAGCTTACTCTTATTCTCTTAATTATTTGTATCAATTTTATACTGAAATTTAAGACTAAGCACTTTTTAGGTACTAAAAGATTTGTTTTTGTCTAATTTTGGGATTTTAAAAAAAACTAATTTTCCAATTGTGCGATTTAAATTCCAACTATTTCCAAGCATACAAAACCAACCAAAATCCATTAAATTGTGAAGGGAGAGACGTTCGCTCCCTTCCATGAGACTCTTGCATACAAGAGAGTACGTTCGCCACCCATCCATCTCCTCCTATTAAACTCCCCCCCGTCGTCAATCCCGGCTGAAGCGGCGGCAACCCTCCGTTCGTCCACCACGATGGCGGCGAAAACAGTTCCCCAAAGGCTCTCCATTGCCGCCATTCTCCTAATCCTCCCTTGCCTCCTCTCGGTTGCCTCCGCCTTCAACATCACGAGGATCCTTAACCAACACCCGAACTACTCCACCTTCAACGATCTCTTGACCCGAACCGGCTTGGCCCCGGAGATCAACCGGAGGTCAACCATAACCGTCTTGGTCGTCTCCAATGACCGCATGGGGGATCTCCAGAGTCACCCTATGGAGGCGGCGGAGAACATACTCCGGACCCACATCATTTTGGACTACTTTGACCTCATGAAGCTGAACCGGCTCGAGGGTCAAACGGCTAAGCTGACTAATATGTACCAAGAGACGGGTGTGGCCGCGTATGACCAGGGGTTCCTGAACGTCACTACCCGGAACGACGGCATCTTGTTCGGTTCTGCCGTGAAGCGGGCCCCACATGATGCCCGGCTCGTGGGGTCTGTCCTAAGCCGACCTTATAACATCTCTGTGCTCAGCATCTCACACCCCATTGTGACCCCGGGCCTTGGTGGGAGCTTCCAGCCCGTGGAGGCACCACCACCTCGACCTCCTAAATCCGTGGCCCCAGCTCCGGTCCCAAGCCACAAGAAGGATGCTGTCCCTGCTCCGATTAAGGCTCCGGCGGAGGCCGATGCTCCTTCTGATGACATTGACTCCTCTGGTTATAGCCCAGCCGGATCCCCGCCAGAACCCGCTGATGGACCTGAACCGGCTGACGGACCTGAACCGGCTGACGGACCTGAACCGGCTGATGGACCCGAGGCTGCGGACGGACCCGAGGCAGATGCAGATACCCAGGATGCTTCTGAATCGTCAGCTGGGAAATCTGGTGTTTCCCTTGGCGGATTCTTTTTGTTTTTGGGTGCTTTGGTGGCTGCTCTGTAACTTCTTTGTAAGGAAAACATTGGATTAGAGATTCAACAATGACTGTAAGCTAACATATAATACACTTGAAAGTTGAACCCGATCTGGTTTGATTTTATCCGATTCGATCCGATGTGATTGAAGTTATATTTAAAGTTGTTTCTAACCTGATCTGGTCTGATATGATTGGATTTGACCTGATATGATGTAATTTTAATAAAAATAAGTACTCCATAATAAACTGAAAAAATAAGTTGAATGAAATGAACCCTTAAACACTATTGAAAAAACAAACTCCAAAATAGACCTCCAACCTGTATAAAATTAAATAATCTTCAAATATTCTTAGTTCATATAAACCCATCATGTATCGGTACTATACCCAACGTGAGGAAAGCGAAAACAAACTATAAACTCTTCCTAAGCTACGTTACACCAATTGTATCAAACCAACAAACAATGTAGCACAAACGCCGCCCAGGAACAGAAAAAAACAACCTTGTTTCAGGTTCTAATCTTTTCTTTGGAATCAAGTTGGTGGCAATGGCATTACTTACTATGTGCTTCGACATCGGTCATCAACTTGGGCAACCTGTTCTTTTGTTGATATTTTGCACACGAGTACCACACGCCACCGGCTGTGTTGATCACCAGCCCAAAGACGTTTAACGCGTGCACTTGAACTCCTCCTAGCACCACAAAGCCTAGGGTCTGCATCACACACCCAAAGTATAAGAACTTTGGTCTCGTTGCAGCGAAGTAAATAGATAAACAAAATTGGTGTAAAGAACAATCTTCTATAAGTATTATAAGTGTATCCCTTTTTTTCTATCTTCACATTTTCTCTTCATACTTTCATTCTCTGTCCATCTCATAATCATCTCTCTATTTTTAAAGGAATTCTGTGAATAGTAGTATTTTCTTTCTACTAAATAAAACTCAACTACACAACTTATTGAAATGCGTGCGAGCTCAATTCAAAAGAACCAAAAAAGGAATGCAGGGAGTACTTTCAAGTTTCAACTTATAAATTACCATATTTTGATATCATACAGTCTCACACATGTTTTGTTATTTGCAAAAAGAGACATAAAAGGCTGAGGATTATATTATAATTTATACGCACCGTGGATCCAAGTTTCAACTTATAAATTACCATATTTTGACATCATACAGTCTTGCACAATTTGTTATTTCAAGTTTCAACTTATAAATTACCATATTTTGACATCAAACAGTCTTGCACATAATTTGTTATTTGCAAAAAGAGACACAAAAGGCTGAGGATTATATTATAACTTATACGCACCGTGGATCCAACCCCCTTGAGCACTCCAACAATTGTTGTAGTTAAGGCGGAGTTGACTATGGTGCATAAAAACATTGTGTAGTTCAAGACTATGCCCATCACAAGTGAAAGTAGAAGAATCACAAAGAAATATACCGAAGTACTCTGTTCATGGAAGAAAAAGAAAATAACTGTTTAGAATAATTTCAGAACTTCTTAATTTATCTTCCATATAAAGATAAGCAAGAATTATACTTGGTAAACCATGGAAAAACAGCATAGGAAAATAACATGAACGAGCAAGACATATCAATGCACAACATGTGTTTAAAGGAAAAGAATAAATTTATTGTTACAATTAAATGAAGTCATACATAAGTTTCTTGTGTCCTGCCTCAGTTCAACAACAAGAACAATAATAAAAACTACAACATCCCCAACAAAATCCCACAGAGCAGGACATGTGGAGGGCGAGTACACGCAAACCTTACCCCTACCTGTACAGTAGAGAGGCCGTTTCCATGACATATCACCAAGTGTAAAGCCTTGGTTCAGAAGACAAAAAATGCTAGGAACAGAAAAATGAGAGGAGAATAGAGACTAGAGAGGGCTGTTGGAAGGAAAGGGAAGTCAGGAAATCTAAAAATTAGTTCAAATTGAATAAATCATTATTAAATATTTGTGCAGATTCATTTTTAATGTCTATTATATAAATAGTAAGAAATCTCCATGTAAATAGAATTATAAAGAACTTATACATATTTGATTTTGCTTCATATGGTATTTTCCAAGATAAAACCAAACATTCAAAACTCTATCTTTTGCTAACATTTTTCTGGGTTAAAGTTAAAGGAGTGGGAGATATGCAGAAATGTTTGACCAATCCTGCAAATATCTAAAAGATATGTGATTTCAAGTCATTGCTTCAAACAATGCAATTAATCAAAATAAGGTATTAGTGATTTGTACAGTACAAGAAGTTAGAATTCAAGTTACCAATTTGGGCGCTGAACATATTGACACGAGGCAAAAAATCTAACCTTTGCAAATAATATTGACAAAGAATTTGGAAACTCTCCCGTGGCTATGATAAGGAATAATAGAAATGGTAAAGACAAAAAGCTATTATAGAACATAATCTCTATTGATGAAAGCCCATCCTCTGCTCCTGACCTTTCCACTAAAACAAGGTACATGGTCTGCGCATGAAAAGAAAATGACAAATTCAGCACTCAACTGAGGCCACAAATGCTCTAAACTGTCTCCTGAAAAGCAATGAATGTCATACCTGAAAGAAAACAGAAATAAATGCCATGCTATATCCGAACAGATCAAAAGAAAAGTCTCCCAATGCTGCAACAATAACTCCAGCAGCAGTTGTCACTACAGAAAGGGTTACCTGTAAATAAAGGTGGCTTGGAAAAGTAACATCATATAGGAAAACATACACAGTTGAGGTAAATCAAAACAAGAAGCATGGAACTGTTATATAGGAACTTGTATTTGTCCCTGATGTGAGTCAATATTATTCTTAATTTCATTTATATACTGCTCTGCAATATAATATAGGGACAAGAAAGAAAGATGTAGCTCTGGTGTATAGACTCATAGGTGGGATCAAGAATTATACCCATGAATGTATGAGAAAGAGAAAGAGGATACATTCTTCATGCATCGCACATCACTAATGGTCCAAGTCAAATTTCGTAAAGTATTCTCCAGTTTATACTTTATATACCTATATTGTTATGTAGGTAAGTCCTAAACTTTATGCCAAGTAATATAATGAAGCCCTTCCATTTTTAGTTGCTAAAACTCATTCAAAACACGGGATTACATTAGAACGACATAAATTTCTGATGCTCTCAAACACAATAAGTAAACTTTATATTATACTAATATACTCCATCTGTCCCATAAACATTTTATTTTTTGTTTGTCCCAAAAAAAGTTCAACTTTCCATGTATGGAAAACTTTCTGTGGCTCATATTATCTCCTTCTCTCTCATCTGCACCACTTTCAACCACACAATATTACTTTTCTTAATAACTGTGCCAATTCCATTGTGGAACCTTTTTGTAGGACAGAGGGAGTATTACCCAGTGGCATCAAATATTTTCCCAGAATAGTGTAGAACCATAAGATGTGTGCTTTTTGCTCTCAAATGATTTTGTAAGAAGAATCATTTACTGGATGACATGGGTAGAATGGATGGTGTTAGTGCTAATAAGGGAAGCTTGACTGAGGTTTAGGTAACCTAAAAATAAGCTGATGATCCTTCCATAGATCTTCAAAACACTCCTGAAGCTCGCTCAAAACTACAAGAGAGATTGCATTTAGGGATGCATAGATAGTAACTGACAACTTTGAAGAGATGACCGAGCCTTGATATGAAGGGTATGGACTAGTTTACAAGTACTCGTATCTTTTAACAGGTTTGCATTTTGAGATTACCAAAATCAAGAGTTCGTGATTTCCCATATCCTCAACGTATGCAAAGAATCCATACTTGGGCTTTAAATAGTTTTTCCAACAGCTAATCAGTAGTTAGTGATTTCCCATATCCTCAAACAAATGCAAAGAATCCATACTTGGACTTTAAATAGTCTTTCCATCATCTCCGAGGGAGCCAAAGATTCACCATTTTTTGGCTTTGGGGTATGATGGAATAAAGCATAATGGCTCTTTAAACTGTCTGCACTTCTTCTAATAGTGAAGTAGCAGTTAGTGTGCAACTTTCGACGCTCATCATGGGTCATTCAGAAACAGCCGCTCTATGTGATAACTTGTGCTTGAGTCGGGGGTCTCTTTGTTGTTGTTGTTGTTGTTGATTCTATTTTTCTCAGAGTAAATGAAAATTTTTTAATGCTAAAGCCAGCTGCTTTCAGTTCCATCGTTGGCCAGAACCAATTTTTAAGTGTTGAATCTTATCATTTTATTCCAGATCGTTTATTGGGAAGTCAGCCACCATAGTACGAATTCACTTGTGTCTCATTAACATATTGAGAAGCACTTACAGTTAAGAAATTCTGTTCATTAAATATTAGTTGAAAGCTTAATTTTTCTAGGGCTCCGTAATCATTGTTCTCTGGTTCTGAAACATTACAGCCTTTTCAATATGGATTTAGGCAATGTTCCAAATGGCGTATTGTGTATATGAAGGCATTTTTGTTTCAAGGCGTATTGTGTAAGCTTCAAGGCATAGTGAGGCGTAAACCTCATTTTTAAGAGTTGTGCTTCTGTGGTCCTATGGTCCACATGAGAAATGTTGACCTTCTCACACTTTTCATCGGCTTACAAGTGAAGTTTTTCTCTTTTGCAAAAAGCCCAGCTCTTACATGGTATGTTTGTACTAAGGTCCATAAAATGAGTATGGACCCATAGACCACATACGAATTTGCCCATATTTAAAGTATTAAAAAGACCATAAAACATTATTTAAAAAGTTAAAAAGAATATAGAACATTATTAATAACATAATTAATTCATAAACATTAATAAAGTATATGGTCAAAGTAAAAGGCCTCAAACGCAACAAAGGTTAGCATGAAATACTATAAAATATTGGCCGAAGAAGAACTTAAATTGACGAATGCAAAAAAATGTTCATTGATTTTAACTTTTAAGCATTCTGTCAACTTGTCAAGTCACCTTCAAAATTACGGAGTATAAAATATACCAGTCTTATAGACAAATTAGTAACAACAAAACCAATGCACACAACAAAGAAGAAAAAGAGAGATAACTAACAAAAAATCCAATAGCAGATAAGCAAAAAAAGTAACAAGTTAGGGGGGGAAAGGCCACACAGGAGTAATAACAAAACACATCACCTAGCTAACTTAAAAAACAATAGGGCAAGCAAATTGCAGCATAAAAACGCACCAGTAGTGGCTCTTCAGAAAGAAAGTTCATAAGCAAAAAAAAAAGACGCACCCAGTAAGCAAAAAAAAACTCAGCTCATAAGGACTAAAAAAAGAGAGAGAACACACTGTACTTGGTTTTGCACTTCTGCCTAGAAAACACAGAAGAGTGACCAACACCTAGTAGACTAAGGTTACGACCGATAATCAGGTACCAAGTACAGTACATATTTTAAAAATTTGCTAATTAAATGGACAAATTTAACCTTAATCCTATAAATTTGGGGGAAAAGATTGTGTACGCCACATATGCGCCTCATTGTGTACACTGTGAGGTAGCCTCAGTCCACAATTGCTGGGAAAACTAGATGGTGTGTGGCTAGATCGCCATGAGGAGGTTCTGGCTGTAGCAGTTCAACTTTTTTTTGCATAAGTTAGCAATTAGAATTATTTTTAAAGGGGAAAAGAAACACTAATGGCTGTAAAACAATTACAAAGAACCAACAACTTGAACCACTTGAATAAGAAGCAATCAAATATATATTGCATACATCTGTCTTCAGCAATCCCAAATACTAAAAAACTTAAAAACCAGAAAGAAATCTATGATATTCAGCGTGACAGCTGTGACTCAACCATGATTTTACTACTTAGGCTCTCTACTGTGCAGGTATGGGTATGGTCTGCACAAACTCCCCC